ACTAAAACGTAACCCAAAAAGCGGTATAGATGCAAATGCCCCGGCCCAAGGCTAGAGTTCATAAACTCACATTGACAAAGGCCCTATATACGTAGGCCTTATGTGCTTGCTAGGCCCAATATATTCAAACCAAACAATTACAGTGAACTAAAACTAATTGTGGGGTTTGATTATAAAACAAAATTATCAGAAGTCTGCTATGTTTATATAATAGTCACAATAGGACACAAATTCAAATGACAAAATTGATACAACAATCTCATATTATGCCAATAACCTCTTAACAATGTAAAAATAGCACGGGTTGGTCAGTTTTTTTGACTGGTCATTCAAAAATAGCCAGCGTTTGTCAAGTCATTGAAAAATAACAACTATTTTGTTGCAACAGAGATTGGTCCAGCATAACATACTGGAGTTCAGTACACCTGTGTATGAACTTCCAGCATATTATGCTGGAACTCCAACACACGAAAAGTTCCAGCATAATATACTGGAGGTTCGAGCATTTATGTATGAACTTCCAGCATATTATGCTGGAACTCCAACACACGAAAAGTTCCAGCATAATATACTGGAGGTTCGAGCATTTATGTATGAACTTCCAGCATATTATACTGGATCGGTATACTTTGCTGGAACTCCAGTATATTATGCTGGAGTTATTGTACTTATGTTGGAACTCCATCATATTATGCTGGAGTTCCAGTATACTTATCCTGGAACTCTAGTATAATATGCTGGAGTTCAAGTATACTTATGCTGGAACTCTAGCATAATATACTGGCGTATTTTCCGGGTTTTAAACAGTGTTTTTGCTCAGATTTATCTTTACATGAAAAGTGGCTAAATTTCGATTACTTTTGAAAGCATGGCTATCTTTGAATGACCGCTTGTAAATCTGGCTATTTTTGAATTTCTCCCCTTAACAATTGCAGTCATTCTTGGGCTTTCTTTTACGTCCAGATCAGCAAAGTTTATCTCGATGTTCAATGCCTAATTCAAAATTCAATAGTTCTTCAATGGGACCTTTATGAGATGTTAAAATTATAGTGAAATATAATTGAAGAAATCTGCAGCAATTAGGCAAAAACCTCAAACACATTCAAGGCTGGAACAATTGATTAAGCCTGAAATGATCCAAGGATTAACAGAGTTTCTATTGTCAACAGGAAGTTAAATTGATTCATACAAAAATATTAGGTCTCAAATTACTCTATTGATTCATTCAAATTTACACAAAAGAACCTCAAGGCAAACAAAAATCACGACCTGAACAGATCCAAGAAAATTCAACATGAATTCAAGCATTTTCGTTATTTTGATGAAATATATTAGAGTGTATTATCTGTTTTGAATTCACATTGTAGTCTATCTAGAACTCTATTGTTGTAGCTTATCCATTGTAACAAAAAAAAAAAGATTACTCTTCCTTTAGAATAGGTATTAGATAAGGATCTCAAAATTTTATATTTATCTTCAAAGATGTACAGAATCTATATAAACTAGAATAAGAATAGCAGAAGATGCATCTTCTCTTATTTTCTAAACTCTTTCTCATTCTTAATCTTTATATGGTATCAGATTTACCCATCGATCCTATGGCCACTTCTCAAAATTCCAGCAACCTGTTGTCCCTTGCAAAACAGACCAGTTCTTCCACCACTATTCAACTACCAAATCTTTCTCTCAAACTTGACCGAAACAACTATTGTCTTTGGAAAGAAAATACCTTGGCCATACTCAAAGCCTTTTCGCTTGATTCCTTTGTTCTCGGTTATAATCCTCCTCTAGAAACCATTACTGTCACCTCTACTTCAGTCATTACCGCTACAAATCCACCTTCTAATACATATTCCTCTCCTCCCCAAGCACAATTAGTAGTTACTTCTAACCCTGCCTACGAGGAATGGTGACGTAGCGATCTTCTTATTCTCGTTTGGCTTTGTCAAATCATTTCTGATCCTCTTCTTGGTCACCTAGCTCGAGCCACATCTTCTTATGATGCTTGGACCAAAATTGAGCACATGTTTCAGTCACAGACACGCGCCCGACTTATGCAACTAAAATCCCAACTTCAAAACCTTCCTAAAGGCAATCTTTCCATCACAGAGTACTTTGAGAAGAAGCGTGCAATTGCCGGCTCTCTAGCCGAAAGCTTGTACTTTGTACAAGATGATGACTTCATCTCATTTGTTCTTAATGGCCTTGATTCTTCATTTAGAATTTTCAAGGCTGCATTCAATATGCGTGTGCAATGTCAAATATGTGGAAAAAATAATCATGATGCTCGTAACTGCTACAATCATTCCAACAAAAAAGATTTTCCACCAACAAGGCAGCCACCGTCTTGGTCAACTCCTAAACAAGCACATCTTGCTTCTCCTTCAGCTATTGTTGATCCTGCTTGGTACTTCGATTCTGGTGCTACACATCATGTGACCTCCGACATGGCTAACCTCTCCTTACAAGTTGACTACACCGGCAATGATGGTTTGATGGTGGGCAATGGTATGAAACTTCCTATTTCACACATTGGCTCATCAATTTTGTCTACACCCACTCGACACATTTATCTTAACAATATTCTTCATGTCCAACAAATTTTCAACAATTTACTTAGTGTTTCTAAAATAACTCATGATAATAATGTCCATATGGACTTTCATCATTATGATTGTTATGTGAAGGAGTTGCAGGGAAGGAAACTACTTCGAGGAACACTTGATGATGGCCTTTACCATCTTCAACTTTCATCACCTCATTCTCGATCTTCCCCACCTTCTGTCTTTCTTGGTGAACGCACATCTCTTGTTGGTTGGCACCGTCGACTGGCTCATCCAAATAAAGCTCTTCTTCGACGTCTTGCGTATAACTTTAGTCTACCTATTTCTAATTTTGATTTTCCTAATGTTTGCGAACCATGTCAACTAGGAAAAAGTCGACGCTTACCCTTTTCCCATTCCCATGATTCTAGAAGTAGTCCCTTGCAATTAGTTTATTCCGATGTTTGGGGACCTTCCCCTGTTCCTTCTATTAATGGATCTTGCCACTTTGTTTTATTCATTGATGATTGCACCAAATTTATTTGGATATACTTTATGTCTCATAAATTGCAAGTTTTTCAACTTTTCGCTCAATTCAAAATTTTTGTTGAGACTCAGTTTGAAACTAAAATAAAATAAGTCCAAACTGATTGGGGAGGTGAGTACCTAAATGTATCATCCTTTTTAAAAAATCAAGGTATTCATCATCGTATCTCTTGCCCTTATACACCTCAACAAAATGGTGCATCAGAACGCCGAAATCGAATTATAATTGAAAAAGGACCCACTCTTCTTTCTCACGCTTCCCTTCCTTATCAATTTTGGGAGCATGTGTTTAACACTGCCACACACTTATCCAATATAACCATATCTTCCTCTTTATCCTTTAAGTCACCATATCAATTACTTTATAAGAGTTCTCCTGACTATGATNAATTTTGGGAGCATGCGTTTAACACTGCCACATACTTATCCAATATAACCATATCTTCCTCTTTATCCTTTAAGTCACCATATCAATTACTTTATAAGAGTTCTCCTGACTATGATTTTCTCAAAGAATTTGGTTGCCTTTGTTATCCTTATCTTCGACCCTACAATCATCATAATGTTGATTTTCGATCTCTACCTTGTGTCTTTATAGGGTATAGTTCTCATCACAAAGGTTACCTTTGTTACCATGTCGTGTCTTCTCGGACTTATATTACTCGCCATGTTGTGTTTGATGAAAATATTTTCCCTTATTCCTCTATGTTGCCAACCGCAAAATCCTCCCCTTCCTCGTCATATTCTACCAACTTATCCTTTTCTTTACTTGATCAAGCTTCTCAACATCTAGTGCGTTCACATTCTCTTGCACACCCTGTCATGTCAAGGCCATTATCAAATGCTCCAGTTGCATCATCTATCCCCTCATCTGAGCATATTAATCATACAAACTTACCCTCTACTACATCCCCTACAACCCCTCCACAAACAGATCCTTTACCATCTACTGACCCACCTGAACATCTACCACCATCCACTGGTTCCTCTTACCCGACCACAGCTCTTTCCTATTTTCGCCCCTCAGACACCTCTCGCCATCCCATGGTTGTTCGAAGTAAAACTAATTCGTTGAAACCAAAAGCTCTTATAACATCTCGCCATTCTCTTCCTCCTGATCCCTCTCACATTCCCGAACCTACAACCTATCACCAAGCCTCCAAATTTCCTAAATGGCACCATGCTATGCAGACATAATTTTTAGCTCTTATGCGAAATAGGGCATGGACATTGGTCCCCCCACCATCTAATTCTAATATTGTTGGTTGTAAATGGGTCTACAGGATTAAGAGAAAAGTTGATGGATCAATTGAGTGTTACAAAGCTCGCCTTGTAGCTAAAGGTTTTCACTAAGAGGAGGGTGTTGATTACTTTGATACTTTCAGTCCTGTTGTTAAGCCCACAACTATCCGGCTTATCTTATCTTTAGCTGTGACAAATAAGTGGCCCATTCGACAACTTGACATTAACAATGCATTCTTAAATGGTGATCTCTCTGAACAAGTGTTTATGGAGCAACCAAAAGGTTTTGTTGATCCTCATCGGCCATATTTTGTATGCAAACTGAACAAGGCCTTATATGGCCTCAAACAAGCACCACGTGCTTGGTTCAACAAGTTAAAGGTTTTTGTCATCGACCTTGGCTTCCGCTCTTGTTTATCTAACACTTCCCTTTTTGTGCAGCAAACTTCTGAGCATACAACATATATTTTTGTTTATGTGGATGATCTTATTATAACTGGCAGCGATAGTAATTTTATTACTACATTCATTCGCACTCTTGATCAATAGTTCTCACTCAAAGATCTTGGCTCCTTAAATTATTTTCTTGGTATTGAAGTAACTCCAACATCAAAAGGGATTCTTTTATCTCAAGGCAAGTACATTCGTGACTTACTTCGCCGAACCAACATGGCTGATGCTAAACCAATTTCTAGTCCGGCTGAACCTGGATCTAGACTTAATCTTTCTGGTGATCCCTTGCCCGATGCTCATTTATACCATAGTGTTTTTGGTGCCCTTCAATATGTTACCATCACTAGGCCAGAAATATCCTACGCAGTCAATCGTGTATGTCAATTTATGCAATCACCTACCATGGTTTTCTTGGATGCGGGTTGGATCTCTGACCTTGATGATAGCCGCTCCCAACATGGTTTTGCACTATTTTATGGTGGTAACTTTATCAGTTGGTCTTCCCGAAAACAAAAGATATTAGCCCGTTCAAGCACTGAAGCCGAGTATCGTGCCTTAGCTTTTGCAACTACTGAATTAATTTGGGTGCAACAACTTATCAGTGAGCTACGTGCTCCTCTCACTTCACCTCCCATAGTTCTTTGTGATAATCTCAGTGCACAGTTTTTATCTCGGAATCCTGTTATCCATCAACGACCAAAGCATATTCGTCTTGACTATCACTTTGTACGTGAGAAGGTTGAAGATCAATCTTTAGTGGTTCGCTATGTTTCATCTCAAAATCAAATAGCAGATATTTTTACTAAAGCTGTTGGAACAACTCGATTCCTCAACCTTCGATCCAAGCTCATGGTTCGATCTTGAACATGATCTTGCAGGGGGCTATTAGAGTGTATCATTTGTTTTGAATTCACATTGTTGTCTATCTAGAACTCTATTGTTGTAGCTTATCCATTGTAACAAAAAAAAGATTACTCTTCCTTTAGAATAGGTAATAGATAAGGATCTCAAAATTTTATATTTATCTTCAAAGATGTACAGAATCTATATAAACTAGAATAAGAATAGCAGAAGATGCATATACTCCTTTTTCCCAAACTCTTTCTCATTCTTAATCTTTATAAAATATAATACAAAGGAGCTGGAAGACCGACCTGTTTGAGCAGAGAAAACACTAAACAAAGCCAAATAAAGGTAGGAAAAGATAGCTCAAGTTAAATTCAACAAGCAATTCAGCAACAGGACAATCAGCTAGAGTAAAATAGCAAGAGATGATGATTTTCTTCAAGCCAATCAGCTATGCAAATCCAGGAAATAATGCGCAAACGAGTAGGAACTAGGAACAACTTTGAATTCTTTTTTTGGTTTTCTATCTCTAAATCTAAAACATCAGAATGCTTTCAAGAGAGGAATTAATGAAGATGATGGAATAGCAAAAAAGTTGTAAAGAAGGTGTTGCGGAGTCGAGTGGGGTTTCTTTCACTATGTTAGCTTAGAGGAGCGGAATATCAATGGTGGCGTGCTTGTGAGTTAGGTAGTTTGGCTGAAACTCAGTTCTTGAATATGTTGTTGAGGGAGTATGTTCCCCAGAGTCTCAAATATGCATGGTGCGTAGAGTTTAAGCAGTTGCACCAGGTTCTATGACTGTGTCAGAGTATGCGGTTTGCTTCAGTAATTTGGCTAGACATGCACCAACCTTGGTTGCTAAAGTTCAAGAGAGGATCCGTCAATTTATTTAGGGGAACAAACCTAGTATCCGATTTAGCATGGCCCGAGAGTTGGAGATAGACATCGCATACTAGTAGGTAGTGGGGATTGCTAGGAGATTGGAGGGTATGCTGATTGGGGAGAGAGAGGAGAGAGAGGCCAAGAGGTTTCGAGAGTCTGGCACTTATAGTGGTGCTCGTACCCCAAAGACATCTCGTCATGGTAGGGGCTATGTGAGTTGCCCTGTTCATTTAGCAATTCCAGCCGCCAGTGGTTTTCCAGCCACTCTTAGGCCCCAGGATCCTCATTATGCACTGCCATTGTCTAGTACACCTCCTGCACGGGGTGCTTTCAGTGGTCAGTCTAGCCGACCTGGCCCAAGCTAGCCACAACAGCCACACCCTCCGAAAGCTTGTTTTGAGTGTGGCAACACTTGCCATATGGTAAGGGATTTCCCCAGACTTAGGAGGGTTGCACCTCCACGGACTACTCAGGCACTACGTGCTCCACTGGGTCCCCAGGCTATAATTATAGCACTAGCTCCCACTCCACCTGCTCAGCCAGTTCGAGGCGGAGGTTAGGCATGTAGAGGTCGCCCTAGAGGGGGAGGCCATGCCAGATATTATGCTCTTCCTGATCAAACGAACGCATTTTCATCCAACTCTGTCATTACAAGTATTGTTCCAGTCTATCATAGAGATGCATCAGTCTTATTTGATCAGGGCTCCACTTATTCCTACGTGTCATCTTATTTTGCTCCGTATTTAGGCATATCTCGTGATGCTTTGAGTTTTCTTGTTTACATGTCCGCACTTGTGAGAGATTGTATTGTTGTTGACTATGTGTATCGATCGTGTTTGGTTTTTCTTAGTGGTTTTGAGATCAGAGCCGATTTATTATTGCTCAGTATGGTAGACTTTGATATTATTTTAGGCATGGACTGGTTATCGCCTCATTATGCTATTCTTTATTGTCACTCCAAGACCGTGACGCTGGCTATCCCATGATTACCGCGGTTAGAGTGGAGAGCTACCTTAGATTATACTCCTAACAGAGTTATTTCATTTCTTAAGGCTCAACGAATGGTTGAGAAGGGATGTGATGTGTATCTAGCTTATGTGAGAGATGTCAGTATTGATACCCTTATAATTGAGTCAGTTCCAATAGTGAGGGATTATCCATATATATTTCCAGCAGATCTTTCGGGCATGGCGCCCGTTAGAGATATTGACTTTGGTATTGACTTGTTACCAGGAACTCATCCCATCTCTATTCCTCCATATCATACGGCTTCACCTGAGTTGAATGAGTTAAAAGAGCAGTTATAGGAGTTTCTTGATAAGGGCTTCATTCCGTCATGTGTGTCACCTTGGGGTGCTCCAATCTTGTTTGTGAAGAATAAGGATGGTTCTATGCGTATGTGCATTGATTATCGCCAATTGAACAAAGTTATAGTGGAAAACAGATATCCATTGCCTCATATTGATAACCTATTTGATCAGTTACAGAGTGCCAAAGTGTTTTCCCAAATTGACTTGCATTCAGGCTATCATTAGTTGAAGATTCAGAATCCAGATATCTTAAAGACTTCTTTCAGGACTCGGTATGGCCAGTACTAGTTCCCTATAATGTCATCTGGGTTGACCAATGCCCCAACAACATTCATTCACTTGATGCATTGTGTATTCGGGCCCTATCTTGACTCATTCGTCATTGTGTTTATTGACGACATTCTGGTGTACTCCTGGAGTCAGGATCATGAGCAGCACCTGAGGATTGTGCTTCAGACCTTGAGTGAAAAGAAGTTATATGCAAAATTCTCAAAGTGTCAGTTTTGGCTAGATTCAGTGGCATTTTTGGGTCACGTAGTGTCGAGTGAGAGGATCAAGGTGGATCCAAAGAAGGTTGAAGCAGTGCAGAGTTGGCCCAGACCATCCTCAACTACAGAGATCCGAAGTTTTCTTGGTTTAGCAGGCTATTACCGTCGGTTTGTAGAGGGTTTATCATCTATTGCAGCACTTATGACCAAGCTGACCCAGAAGGGTGCTCTATTTAGGTGGATAAAGAAGTGTGAGCAGAGCTTTCAAAAGCTCAAATTAGCTTTGACTATGTTCCCAATATTGGTATTTTCTACAGGTTCGGGGTCTAATACCGTATATTGTGATGTGTGACGGATTGGTCTCGGTTAGGTGTTGATGCAGGATGGTAGGGTGATTTCCTACGCGTCTAGAAAACTGAAGGTGCATGAAAAGTAATATCTTGTCCATGACCTCGAGCTATCAGCTATTGTTCATGCCATAAACATTTGGCGATACTATTTGTACGGTGTCCCTTGTGAGATCTAAACAGATCACTGGAGTCTGCAGCTGTCGCGCCCCCTTTTTTTCCTCAATGGAGAGAGGTCCGGGCTTCGACATTAATGGGGTGTGATAACTCATTTCCTTTTGGGAATTGGGTATTTGGAGAGTCTCCACCTAACGAGTTATGGTGCGTTAGGGCACCTAGAGTGATTAACTCTTGGATTGGTTTGCATTACAAGAGATTAGGGTAAGGACTCGAAATGACCTCGAGGGGAAGGTGTTAGGCATCCCTCTTGGTCCACAACTGTGAGTCCCGGCCGAACTTATATTCACAAATTAGTCCATCACAAATAAACAGTTGAATCAAATAGGTTACAAGTACAACTTGTTGGATAACTCAAATAATAAGATAAGGATTTTTGAACAAGTTGTATAAAACAAAGCTTTAAACAGAAAAAGGAATTTTGGAAAAGGAGAAGTCCTAGATTGGTTAGCCTATAGGATGACCCCACAGAATGTCCGATAAACACTCCTCAATGAGGGGCTACACGTCACATTAGCGCGTAGTCATCATATCCCATATCTACCCTTCCCTTCCCCTTAGTGGTCATTCAAAGCGAGTGTTGGTCAGCGACCTCTATTGCGTGTTGTTACCCGTCCCTTCTTAATGGTCTTGGAGGGATTTAGGACCTCTACCTATAGGTGGTTCTAGACAGACCCCTAAGGTTTTAAAGGTGAAAATACTAAGGCGACGCGCAATAACACATAGGACTCTTAGCAAACAAGAGCAGGAAGGAGCAAATAAGAGGCTCAGTTTACCTCCACAGAAAAGGCATGTAAACAGCACGACTCAAACACAAATAAAGGCCTTTTTATTAAACAATATCCTAAGGCATGATGTCTAAGTGAATGTACAGAAAACATGTAGTTTGTTTTATAAACTTAGAAGTGATGGTCCAACAAGTTGCCTCCTGATTTTTAAAAACCTATTAGAACAACATTAGGTCACAGAAACAATTTCAGAATTGCAAGTTTTGAAAATACCCTACGGGCTTACCTATACGCGGAATATTGATGACTATATTTTATATAGTGAAACAAGGTAGGTTTTCAAACGGACTCTTTAATCCCTAGAGGCATACTGTCTCGTAACATATTAAGGCATTTTTAAAAGAACTCGTTTCAGGGAAATATAAACCACTTAATTAAACCAGTTCAGAAGTGAGCCAAACGTTAATCGAACAAATTTATTTAAACTAAACTAGTAGTCATGATAACACATAGAACCAAACAAAAAAATCTTAGAAATTTTAGGGCTTTCAACATAGGCGAGTTGAAAAGGTAGTAAAATCATATAATCCGTCGAAATATGCAAGAGATGGAAGTTTAAACATAATGAATTAGTTTAAACAAAGTTATAAAAGGAGTTCCGAAAACCCTAATTTTAGAAGAAGGTGAAAACCCTTTGAAATTGATGATTCTTGTAAAAGAGTCCCAAGAACAGTGTAAAATACTAAAGAAACAAACTCAAATCATTTTAAAATTGTATAGATCTAGAAGATGTAGGTAGAAATTAGGGTTTTAGAAGAAACCCAAATAGAGATGGTAGAACCTGTCTAGAATCCCAAGGATTGTAACAAACACAACATGATTTTGCTTAAAATCACACTGAAGTATCCAAGAACAGACAAATAGAAAACCCTAGATGCAAGTCGGCATGGCCCAGGGCCCTTGAAGACCTTAGAGAAGGCAAGCATAGCATTAGAGGAGCCATTGGAGGCTTATGAGTTGAAGGGAGATCATCGGAGAAGACCGGAGAAGAAGATTGGCGGTTGAAGGAGCTAGGGTTATGTTGAG